ATCACATCAAAGTGGATGCACTACAATCATGTCGAAAATTTCATGTAATTTTTATGACCACATAAATAAACAAATGCAGTAAAAGCAGTGTAATGTCAGTTCATGCATTGTATTAATGATAATTTTGTCCTTTTTAGCAAGTAATATTACACCATATTTTCGACATGATTGTAGTGCATCCACTTTGACGTGATATCAAAATTTTTTTTTTGCTGTGCAGTGTAGATCTTGATGTCACCCTTTGGAACCTTATCCACGACGGCATTCAGTTGACTGTAAAAATTCTCCTTGTCCTGTAGCTCGGCAGCATTGGTTGGCGCATAACATTGGATTATGGTAAGGTTACGAACCCGTGTTCTAAATCTGGCAACGCTTTAAAAACTTCATTTGATGCAGTTCTCAGTAAAGAATCCATTTCTTAAGAAACAAATTCCGGAATCGGACATTATGCAGCAACTGGAGATAAGATGATAAGGCAACTAAAAGAAAAGTTTCGGATTTGTGAGAAAGCAAGCGACAAAATTCAAATTTTGTCAGTACTACCAAACTCGTGGAGTTTGCGCAAAATTTAAGGTAAGTTGAATTGATACTTACCTTACCAATCAGGCTAAGGCCTTGTTGTCCTCTGCTGTCCGAATAAGTCGTCACCACTATACTCGATCCATGGCTACACTTCGCCAGCCTCGTAGTCTGCGAAAAGTCCACAGGTCCCCTTCTACTTGATCGATCCACCTTGCCCGCTGCGCGCCTCTTCTTCTTGTTCCTGTTGGGTTGCTTTCGAGAACCATTTTCACTGGGTCGTCGTGCAGCATTCTTACGACGTAGTCGCCCAATTTTCGCAATGTGAACGATGGATGGTTCTTCTAGCAGCTGGAGCAATTTTTAGTTCATTCGCCTCCTCCACGTTCCGTCATCCATCTGCACTCTACCGTAGATGCTACGCAACACCTTCCGTTCGCAACAAACCGTTGGTCCTCCACGAGCATAGTCCAGGTTTCGTGGCCGTTGAGGACCACCGGTCTAATCAGCGTCTTGTAGATAGTCAACTTCGTGCGGTGGCGAATTTTATTCGACCGGAGTGTCCTCCGGAGTCCAAAGTAGGCACGATTCCCTGCCATAATGCGTCTTTGAATTTCTCAGCTGGAATCATTTTCGGCGGTCACCAGTGAGCCCAAATACACGAACTCGTCACCAACCTCGATTTCGTTTCCGTCAATCTGAACTCGGAATGGGAGGCTAACATTACCTTCCCTAGAACCTCTTACTCCCATGTATTGTGTTGATGGCAAGTCGAATCCACCTAGCTTCAGCATTCAGTCTGATGTACGTTTCCACTCCGTGCCATGATGTCGATGTCATCGGTGAAGTCAAGAAGCTGGATGGACTTCCTGAAGATCGTCCCACTCTTATCTATCCCAGCTCGTCTGATCACATCTTCTAACGCGATGTTAATTAGCAGACACGAAAGTCCATCACCTTGCCGTAACCCCCTTGAAGATTCATGGGATTCGAGAGTGTCCCCGAAACTCAAACAACGCACATCACTCGATCCATCGTCACCGTCAGTTTATCCGGAAATCCATACTCGTGCATAATCTGCTATAGCTGATCTTGATCGATTGTGTCGTATGCGGATTTGAAATCAATCCATGAACAAATGATGTGTGGACACGGTGTATTCGCTGCATTTCTGCAGATCCTGCCGCATTTCTAATACTTGATCCGTGGTAGCGTGGGCACCCATGAATCCCGCCTGGCATTGTCCCACGAATTCTCTTGCAAATGGTTACAGATGGCGACATAGAATTTGGGAGAGTACCTTGTAGGCGGCGCTCAGCAGTGTTATCGCGCGATAGTTGCAGAAATCCAACTTGTTGCCCTTTTTGTAGATTGAGCATACGACACCTTCCATCCACTCCTCCGGGAATATCTCCTCGTCCAAAATCTCCTAAATTACCCAGTGCAGTGCTCTAGCCAGTGCTTCACCACATCTCTAGGTAGTTGATCTACACCAGTTGCTTTGTTGTTCTTCAGCCGACCGATCTCCTCCTCAACTTCTTGAAGATCAGGGGCCGGTAGCCTGTCGTCTTCTGCGCGTGCTCTAAGGTCTGTTGCCGTGCCACCTTCGTTTTCTGCTCCATCATCGTTGAGGTGCTCGGTACTGCTTCCACTTCTCAATCACCTCACAAGCGTTCGTGAGAAGGTTACCGTAAAAGTCATTGCACATATCGGCTTGCGACACGTTGCCTTTGTGCAAACTATTTAGCTTCCCGTGTGTCGTTTACGCGGTATAGATTTTCCATCGCCTCGCGATCTCGGTCTTCCTGCTGACCGTATCGCTCCACATTCAATCTCGTACGGAATTGCAGCATTCTCACCCTTGCTACATTTTTCTCTTCTACTAACAGTTTACATTCGCTGTCAAACCAGTCATTTCTTCGGTCCGGGATCGCAGTTCCTAGTGCCGCTGCACCTACCTATGGCGGAACGGATGTCCCTCCAGTCATCTTGAAGCTGCGCCAAGCTGCTCTTTAGTGGGTAGTGCAGCTTCCAGCTGCTGCGCGTAATCCTGGGCAACTCAGGTGTCCCGTAATTGCAAAATTTAGGGTCGCGGCGTTCGACTTCGACAAGTGTTATGCACCGTCGAGAGTTTTGAGCGCATGCATACTGCAACTAGGTAGTGGTCCGAATCTATGTTCGCACTGCGGTATGTGCGTACTTTGATAATGTCGGAGAAGAATTTCCCGTCGATTAGAACGTGATCGATTTGGTTTTCTGTGTGTTGGTCGGGGGATCTGCTGGTGGCTTTGGGGATATCCTTGCGAGGGAAAAGGTACTTCAGACTACCATACCAGTTGAATTGATCTAGAGCAGAATTTAAAACTAATCATTTGTGATTGATAATCTACGCACTAGTTTGAGTACTCCGAGCGATTAGTGCGGAACATGAAAAAATGCGTTGAAGAGAAAGGTATTCTCTGGTCACCTAATCCCAAAAAAGTCCATCCTCTTTCCGAAGACGTCGTCCAAAAGGTTTTAGCACGAAATATTTCAAATCTCCTCATCCATTAATGTATGAGTTAGGTAAAGAAGTGTGCGTTTGAATAATACTGTCGCATTAATGACCCTTCGCTCATTTCGAATATTAATTCAATTTTCATACTGCCGTACTCTAGTGGAATTATCTACCTACCTTCTTCAGACCTTTCTATAGCTAATAAATTATCACACTAAAGCTTCATGTTAGGAAGTAACATAAAAACAGTTTACCAAAAAAATATATTCAAAGAAAGAACCTCCACCTCAAGAGACAGCTTTAAGTTTTGCTTAGTTTTTCCTTTCATCTGTCTGACCAACATAACGTAAAACGACCTGTCAACGGAGATTACATCCAGATGTTACCAACTGAATGCTTTCACATCCCACCTCCATTAACGGCTATGCTCTTGTGCTATACTACCAGCTTTAGCTATATCGGATTATTCCAACAGTTTTTTTTTATTTCTCATCATTCCACTCTGACTGCACACTCACATTGTATCGATCCCTCCCAAAACGCCAATAAATATTAATAAACACTTTACTACACACCACGGTCGAATATTCGACCCTCTCCTCAGCATACCATCGTCATCGGAACGGTTAGTGACGCCAGTATAACCATCAATTTGCCCTGCTTCACTTCAGTAGTAGGTTTTCCTCTTCCAGGACTTCCATTTCAGCCGGATAGTTCGTACAGAAAAAATATCCTTCGTTGTTTACTATGTTGGAAAACCTACAGTGCATGCCATGAGGCATGATACACTGCAGTTGTTTGATTTTCCCAGACCGATAAAGCTGAATACAATTAGCGTGACAAATATCCAACACTATCGTGCTTCCCGGTTAAGCTTGGATTCTTGATCTGACGATAATTCAAGAGCAAATTTTCATTACGTCGAATGTAACAAAGGTAAACAAAGTCGAGCTATCAGTGTCAATCGATTCTCCTGCTATTACACTATATACTGTCCGAATATAGGATCAAATCCCATTTTTAAATTTATTTGCCAGTCAAATTGCTTTTTGACGTAATCACCTTCCGATGAAAATAGTTTTCGATGTTACTTAAGTCACCCAATTTCTATGGAGATGCCGTTTGACTTAAGTAACAGCGCTGAGAAACCCGTGAAAAGTGTACGTTCGTCGTTTCGCTTTCTCATTATTAAAGTGAATAAATCGAACTGTTTGTTGCTAAGATGATTTCGGTAGTCCTAAAATGATGAATGGGCTGCACGTAAGGAGACGTAATTGATAATTCTCCCGAATATCCTGGTAAATACACTTTGACTTAAGTAACAATAGGGGCCACCAAACGACGTATAATAACTTTTGACTCAAAAACCAGTATTTTTTAGCATGAAAGCTAGCGATTTGCATTTGTATGATTAAAACCCTGCTAAATATGTTAAACATTGCTATCACTATGAGATTATATGTGTTTACTTGGAAATAGGAATAACTTTTCGGTCATCAAAACAAAACTTTATTTTTCTCCGATTGGTGCGAATGTTACTTACGACATAATGAAAATTTGCTCTTGATATGAAATAAAAACTAAATTAACTGAAAGACGTCGGCGGATATTGGGGAAATTGAAACGACGACGTGGGGTTCACGGCGACTCCTCCTCCACCCTACTGGTTTCATACTCACGCTTCTGCACACATCAGAAAGATATGTTAATGCTAACTGCAACTATCTGGAGACAACAACGACGCTGTAATCGGAAATTCACACACCATCGAGTGGCGACACGGAAAAACAATTTCGCTGCAGCAGTACCCATCCTGCTATCGCCGATGTTCGCAGGATGCCACTGAAAGGAAAGTTTCTCCGAAACCACTTCGTCCAAGAAGAAGCCCAGGACTCTTTTCATCAAGCCATTAGACCTTGTAATATCATTGGTCAAGAATATTCGGAATCATATTCAAATCTCACCATTCAACGTCCCATTTCAGACATCGTAACAGGTCAACTGTTTGGGATCTTTCCCCTGTCCGGCATATTCGACAAGGATTGCCATCGGATACGACTCGTATGGCCCACTTTGCGAGTGATTCTCGATCTGATCTTGCTCGGAGCGGGTATTGTGAACTCTGTAACCGAGTTCATCAGACTGCGATCGGTGGGAGTTAACGCGAAGAACATCAACGGACTGATATTCTTCGTCGATGGATGCATCATCAACGTCCTGTTCCTGCAGATGGCCACCAGGTGGAACCGGGTGGCCATCAAGTGGGACACTGTAGATCGGATTTTTCTCACCGAATCGTACCGGATCGAGTCCAAGTGGACACTGAAGCGACGAATGTGGACTGCGGCCAGCGTGTTGATGGCGTTGGCTTGCTGTAAGAAATGAGTAACGAAATTCATTGTGATGAAGTGGGCAAACTATGGGAAATTATTGATTTTTAGGTGAACATATACTAGCAACAATCAATAACTTGAGTGACCAGTGGTATGAAATCGAATACTGTGGTTGGAAGACAAACATCACCGATACATTTCGACACTATGCACTGCGGAGATCTCCCAATTTGTATACGCTGATGCCGTATAGTGCCGTATCAGCTGTGTTTTTCACGGTAGGTATTGAAACCTATATAGTGTTACGATCTTTGGACGTTCTTTAGAAACACAAGCATAATGATTCCAACTCAAAAAAATCCTCGACCGGATTGCGAATTGAACTGATCGCCTCCCGAATAGTCTGCTTTTTAAAATGGAGGGAAAAGTTCGGTGAAACAACACAAATGGCTGAAATGGTGTTTAAGATTTCATTTTACATTTGCTGACACTGACACATAAAATTAACAAGTTTTGCTTTAGAAATTATCTGAGATGTTAAACTAGAGTGCTGTGCGAGCAGCCAAGCGGAGCTCACGTGAGATAATTTCATTAATTGTTATCCAGTATTTCCCTTTGTTATCCAGTATAACCATAACCGCGCTGATCTATTGTTCGGTTTTTGCGATGAACAACGCGTCTTTTCACAGAGTGAGATAAAACAAACACGTTCGATTATGCAGTTTTTGAGTTTTGCCTGATTGGAATGAATGGCCAGTAGAAAAGCAAAAATTAAAACGGTATGGAAGAAACGTTAATCGTACCTAATATTGGAATAGCTATAGATTTGGCTAGAGGAAAGTATGCGTAGAAGTATCATGAATGCACTCCCGAACAGTATGTGGTGGTGATATTGATTTCGTGAGTACATTCCAGTCGAAAAATGTTCTTATACATTTATTTTCATTTATTCCCGTTTACTGCCCGGTGGGATGGCATCGATCGTGTGTGGTCTGTTACTCGGTTTATACGGTTCGATACGTGTAATGACGTGATATTTTAAAAACCGGTAATTTAGGTAATTTTTGTTATCCAATGTTTCAAGAAGTTGAATTAGATAATTTACAAGGTTTACGTGATACTCTAATAATCAAAAAGTACACTGAAAATAGTTTTTCATTAACTATCTTACGCTTTTTTCGTAAAAATCAATTTCTCAGATAAAGAATATTTTTCGTAAATTTTACGAAACATTCATATTGCCTGTCATCTAGCACAATGCTAATATTACGCCTTATTTGTATGATACACAAACTGAATTTCTTGGAGTTTTGTGTGTCGGAAAGGTTTCTTCTGTTGCCCTTCCAAGTATCCAATTATATTTTTTGGTTTTTTGTAGCTGCGAGTGATACTAATAATAATGCTGGTGGGTATGAGATCGATGATTTTACAGCCATCCAGGAAGGTGTAACCGGAGAGTTGATGTTGAAGATGGGATTATAAGAGACGGACTGAACATCTGGTGTTGGAGGGAAATTATTGGCTACCTTCTAGCGAAGACAACAAATCAAGAAGACTGGCAACTCTGCCAAAAATCAGGAGACAGTAACATAGGTAGAAGTAAATAGCTGTCAATTATTGGTTTTGTTATGATTGTTGTAAAACGTGAAACGTTTCTTTCTTTGCTTTAAACTGACAACGAGTAAAATTCCAGCTGAAATTGAACAGATTCGTAAGTAAATTTGTGTTGAAAATTAAAACTATGGCAATGATGCTATTCACAATAGTGGTGGGATCTTCCTCGATCATTAATTTGTTATCTCAGAATTATCTTCCACTTTTTTTTAATATATCTTTATTAAGGAGACTTTCAGCCCTGGGCTGGTTCGCTTCTATATCTTCCACTTTTCCTAAGCCATTTAGTGATGCATTTATGGGCATTCGTACAGTGCATTAATAAAATGCATGCCCGTTCCACATGGCATTGGCACCTGGCCACAGCGGGGGAGTTAAGTTGTGACGCTCGGAAACTTGGCACAGTACTCACTGACCATTAGAATGTCACTGGCCAATCCGACACTGTTGTTATCATTCTCTGGAAGGGATCGGTCGATTCCAAGAATTGTTAAAGCATACAGAGGATCACTATCCGGTTGTTTCATGGTCTGACAACATCTAAAATGGAAATATATTCTTTCTCAATACGTACCGTTTGTGATTGTAGTCCTTCAACCTTCCATTTTTATTTTCTCCAAACATTAGACCCTGCTGCGCCTTCCATTGGATCGTGATATAGGTAGGGTTAACTACCCCATTTCCGGCCTATTAAGCACAACCCGCACTTAGTCTTTCTTAATCTAGCGCAGTTTAGCACCAAACGGAATGTTATTATTACTGATGGCTTCCAAATTCTTTACCTTTCTGTACGTACCAAAAGATTTGATAAAGAGAAACCAATCGTTGAGATATTGTCAAAAGTCTAACACTGCTTCTTGACGCCAAACTCGGCCTACGGAGTCTAAACTCGGCCTAACACATTGAAACGCCATTGAAACGCCTATGAATTCACTTCGGCCTATCGGATAAAGATAAAAATTGATTCGGTCGGAGCGCTTCTTTTGTTTTTGGGAATAATGGGTGCAAACATTCATATCACGCGTTCTCATTGACTTCTTTCGGAAGCTTATTAACTAAAGTATCGTACCAAACGCATAAGTGACTTGTTAACTTTGAAATCATGGATTTATTTGAAGTTTTCTGCTCGATAGGCCCAAAATGGGTGATTAAGCCGAAGTAGTTCTCTACCCTACCGGATCTTTCTTCTTTTTGAATCCTTGAATTTTCAGCAGCTTCCGAATGACGGTAGTTCACTCAATGGTAGTGTCAATTGGGTTCTTTAAGGGTATTGAGGTAAATGCATATTCGTAATCTGCATTAAAAATGGAACCCAAACCCAAAATTTCATCAATTTTGGTACACTGGAACTATTTTAAATAAGTACGATTATATTTGCAAAAATCACCTTATTACCGCCCCTCGGTGTCACTTTGTATGGGAGCGAGCTGTCAGTTTGTTAGTTTAGTGTCAAACAGTGAAGTTATTATTTTGCTTTAAATCTTGATTTAAAAATCGAGATGAAAATGTGTGGGTTCAAAAAAATATCGCTGTGCTCCGAAAACGAAGCTCTTTCAGATGATGCATAAAAAACGATACATTTTTCAAAATTAAAGAACCCAAATTGATTGCTTCCAGGCAAAATAAACAATATTTCGGTTCTTCGTTCACAAGTAAAAGTTACTTTCACTAGGTATCGATCCGAGTTTCAATCCTCTACTTGATTCACCATGACAAGTTTTTTGGTTTGGAGTTGGAAAACCACCTGGGATTAGGATACAAATTGCCGTGAAATGTTGTAGAGCAAAACAAAAACGAGTACCGTGTTATGATTATTCGTTTCGGCGACATTAGGTCACACACACACTCACTGTTTATGAGCAGTCTCACTAACACTTGTGCTTCAAAGTTCCACCTTTGATTGACAGAGGCGCTGTTATCAGTGACGTTTGACATTTGTATGGGAGAAGGGAACAGTTGCCAGTCTTCTTGATTTGTAGTCTTCGCTAATTGGCACGCTTAAATTTTTTGCCGAGATGGGCACCACCGAGCAGCTCAGCATTTTATTTTGCTGGATATCAGCGAAAAACTTGCCGTGTAGGTTGCCAAAGCAGCTTGTTTTAAATCCTCTCCGCGCTTATGATAGACTGCCGACGTAGTGGTAAGCGTAACTGCTTTCTCATTCCAATGCACAATGGGAATTTAAAAAAGTAGAAGGGTCTTTGCCTAGGGGCACGAACGGAAGCTTTACATAGGACCGCTAGTGGACGGAATAAATGTGAAGAGCATTTAGTTCTTTTAATTGATCAATTATCTATTATCTCAACTCTTTCCGTTTTTGAATTGTAGGCGTACCAAATTTGTAGTAATCTTTTTCAAAGAGAAAGTTGATTAAGAGAACCAATCAAAATCACTTGCACCCCTGCTTCCAAGTTTGGTTACAAGATTACAACTCTGGAGAGCATTTTGTGTGGTCGTTGGGTGCTTGTGGTTCTGAATATGGACAAACAGGCACAGATAAATTCTATTCCAACTCTTTACTGATGTAAGCTTGATGGCCCTGAAAAGGGCCGTTTTATTGAAGAGGACATCCATGGCCACTTACGCTTGGCGTGTTTAGTGTAGGTGACAGCATCACGGACCTCATTTTCCAGGAACACCTTCACCACACCTCGTAGATCAGACCGGAGATACGTTTGACACCGCCTCGGCGAGCCAGACGACGGACGGATGGTGGTTATCTTGAAGAACTTTGCGATGACGCTTGGCACCTCCTTTACCTGCAGCGTTGCCAGATATACCGATTTCCAAACTAGATACCGATTTACAGATATGTTTCCTCAGAATACCGATTGTTAAAATTTTATACCGATTTATACCGTTTTTTTCTAAATAATCAAAATTATTATTGCGTGCCCGCGCTTGAATTTCGAAGAAAATTCTTGTGAGGGACTTGTATCTTTTCGAATACCTCATATTGTTTGAGCCTTCAAAATTCTAAACAATCATCTCTAAAGATGCCTTATGCTTGACACTCTTTCGACTAATGTTTGCATTTCCTCACCGTTTTTGGCTACCCATAAATCGACAAATAGTCGATGGCTCTTTCCGGTTATTCCGAGGGTAATTCCTAGGGAATCGAGAAATATTTTTTAAACATTATTTAACTTCCGGAAGATTTTATTGATTTTTTAACTTCCTGAAGTTTCATCCAATTTCCCTGAAATTTTCTTCCACCTTACCTTGGAAGCATCTTCAGCCTTCGCTCGAATGATTCTTTCATCTTCTCCCGCCAGTTTTTTTTTAACTTTTAACTTTTTATTGCGGATCTACACTAGCTGCAGGTATATTTAAGAAGTTCTGAAACTTCAAAAAAGTCCAGGCTTTTGTGTAAGTTTCGATAAATTAAAGACATTTTCATTAACTTCTGTTAAAATTAGAAAACCCGGAGATTTTCAGAAAAGTCCAGTGAACTCCAGTGAACTTAAGGAAACATAATAAATATTTTGGAAACTTCACAAGTCCAAAGAACTTCAGGGAAATTTAATGGTTTTCAGGAACCTTAGTGAAGCTCAGAGAACATCAGGACCGATTAATTAATTTCAATGAAATTGCTGAAATTACAAAGGAGTTCCGAGAAACTCAGGCAATTTCCGAAAACTTCAGCAATGTCTATGCAAATTTAGGAATCGTAAGGGAAATTACATGAACATTTTATGGGAAGTTCTATGCTTTTTAATGGCAGTGTGGATAGCTTTTAAAAATTAAAAAATCGGGAAGATCAGAGAACTTCAATGCTGATGTTACAATAAATTCAAGAAAATTGTGAGAGCACTTAAGAGATTTCCTAATCTTCAAGAAAGTCCAGAGACCTTCTAAGATGATTAGGGATATTCCGGTAGTCTTATTATAATCAGGGAAGTTCCAAGTGCTTCGAGGATGACCAGAGATCTCCAAAACAGTCCGGAAAATTACAAGAATTTATAAGGAATTTCGAGGAATTATGGAATATTCCTAAGTGCATATGTTCCGAATGTTCCGAAAACTTCATGGAAATTTCGGAGTATTCAGGGATGTTTTTTGAACATCAGTAATGTGTTCTAGATCATTAGAACATCCCCCAGGAATCTCTTTCTTCTGGAATTATATCCTTGTTTCTTTCGACTATTCTGTAAGCGCTCTGGCTTCCGACTTTCTTCAGATGTTTCTTCCAATCTACCTAAGGAAGTTTCTGCCAGCGTCTGCAGAAAGTTTATTTTGTCTTCTCAAGGAAGTTCAATTAATTCTCCAAGAAATTTCTTTCGTCTTCTACTGGAAGTTTGGTCATAAGCCAAAGATTTTTTGTTCGACTTCTATTGGAAGGTTTTTCCGAGCTTCTTCTGGCTTTTCCTGAAAATGGCTACTTCTGGAAATTTACTTCTGGTTTCCGAAACTTTTCTGGCTTCCTTTGGATGTGACATCCAATAGTTTATTTAAATTTTCACCGAAAGTTTCTCAATTCGTGTCTTGGAAGTTTCCCGGATGTTTTTCCAGCTTTTCTCGAACCTCATCCAGGAGAGCTTCTTTCGTCTTTTTGTCGATGTTTTTTCAGCTCCATTCAGAAGCTTATTCAAACATTCCCCGGAGTTTTCTCTTCCGGAATTTTCCGATCATAGTTCAAAAGCTAAAATTTTGCTTTGATCAACGGCTTTCTCAGTCTTAAAATACTGCAACGACTATGATGTAATCTGCCCAACATTTCGGCCATAGGTTGTGGCTTTTTTCAAGGGAAAATATTGTTTGTCGTTATTGTCAATAACTTAGTCGTTGTTGTGGCTGATTTTCCATATTTTGGTGTCATTTAATAATATTTAATTGAAAAAAAAACACTACTTGGTCATAATTTTGATCACCACTTGAAGACAACGATAATTTAAAAAATTAAAGTGTGTTTTAAGACTGAGAACGCCAAACAAAGCAATTCCTCTCAAATCCCATCGTTAAAATTTTCATTTTCAAAAAGGGCAAAAATATAAAATTAAATAAATAGTAAATACCGATAAATACCGATTTTTTAATACCTTTGATACCGATAAGATTTAAAACAATCTGGCATAGCTGTTTACCAGACCAGTCAATTGTTGCTTGTTGGGTGTGAAGGAGTGGACTAGCCACCACCTTCCTACTGCTGCAATTGCTGCTCACCACGCCGTCCGAAGCGAAAATGAGCTAATGTCATACAGCAGGGCTCTTTTATATCTTTTCAGGTTAAAGCAGAATGATGTGCAACCAAGTGGTATAGAAGCTACAAAGACTCTTCCCATTATGAGTAGTTTGCTATCAAGTAGTGACACTGGCTCGTTTCTTTTTGCGTACACGGCGAATGAGAACGACCCAAATTTGAGTCTAGTTCACTCATAATTGCCAAAAGTGCAGGAACTCAGCGATGAGTAAAATTTGTCTCATGGTTTCCTGTGGAAAACCTAAAAAATCTGCCAGAAAATGAGGAGATTGACGAAAATTTTATTCAGTCTCGGAGTAGTACCAATAGACGGAGTGAATCCAATCTTTACTTTTCTCAAATTTGGGATTTTTCCCTGGAAAATCCTTGAAAAACCTGGGAAAACATGAGGCAAATTTACTCATCGCTGATTTCGCACTTTATGTCTTATTTTTGGGATAACTAAACTCAAATTTGGGTCGTTCTCATTCGCCGTCATATCACCTTGAAAGATATCGGCGCCGGTGGTTAGCGTGATTACCTCTCACCCCAGCAGGCCTATGTCCAATCTCAGTCGGCGCCACCGGCATGTTCTAAGGCATAACATCTCTAATCACGCCTTCCTTCGGGAAGTAAAGCCGTTGGTCCCCGGTTGAGTTGATGGGTCGATTGGTAGGGTCCAGGTGTGGGAGCTGCCTTCCTGGCGTCGGTAGCATTGGAGCTCAGTATGGAAAACAAATCTCGCGTCACTTTTCAATAGATCCTATCTACATTGCTCGATTCTCTTCATCGACACTCTCTTTCGTAAATAACTCGGCTTCACAAATCTTTCCTGCCGTCTTCGTCGAATTAGATGCTAGATTGTTGCTTCTTCCATCGAAAATATCCGGCCGTGGCGATTCAAAGTTGATCAAGGTTGATCAAAATAATTTGTATCCCTGCTTCCAGTTTGATTACATGAGCATTTTGTGTGGTCGTTGGTTCTTAATATGGACAAACAGGCAGATGAACTCTATTCCTACTCTTTACTGTAATAAGCTTGGTGGCCCTGAAAAGAGCCGTTTTGTTGCCAAAGTTGGTGATGATTTAACCTCCAAAACCAAACAGAGTGCGTCTCTGTCACTTCAAAACGTAGATGACATCCATGGCAGCTTACGCTTGGCGTGTTTAGTGTAGGTGACAGCATCACGGATCTCATTTTTCAGGAACACCTTCAGCACACCTCGTAAATCAGACCGGAGATACGTCAGACACCGCCACGGCGAGCCAGACGATGGATGGTAGTTATCTCGAAGAATTTGCGTTTGGTTCTGAATATGGCTATGAGTGTGCAAAATATTACACAATTCCATCCTCCCTATTCGCACGCGCCCGAGGATCGGAGGCGAATGCCACTTCGACTTGTTTCGTCTACTTACTACTCTCTGACGACTGTGCTGGGGAAGCAGCATATGCATGTAGGTAATTGGTGGATTTGTTAGTTAATTCGACGTATTTGGACAATGCTGGATATTTACCAGTTTTTCAATAGTTTCTTGTTAAAAATCGTTGTTATCGATGCGTAGCCATATTTCTGATCGATTGGTGATAAAATTATTGAAATTGGACCAGAGGCAGCTGAGTTATTAACGTTCAAAATCTTTCTTAATTTGTTACATGCTCCATTTTCGGTTTTCACAAAGTGTACCCCCATATAGAAATCAAAGACGTAGTCCTACGCCAAAAGTTTAAAATTTTTCCGATAGTCTAAAAACGGTTCGAAGATTTAGATAAATATGCCTCTAAAATGTAGTCGCTAAATTCAGGATTTACAAATAATTCAAAACACATCTAGTTCGTCGCCCTATAACTATCTTCAAATAACCGAATCAATCACCAAATGGCACACCAACTGACGATGGTTCGGCAAACAAACTTGATTATCGTTGTCAAACTAGATTATGCGACTAACGCTGTTTTCAATAATTTCCAACATGGTGATTGCAAGCAGATTGCTTCCATAATACCACTGCCGAACAGTAGGTGTTAGGTTGAAGACACACAAACCACCCCTCTCTGAAAATCATATAACTTTTCAAGCTCAAATTTAAAAATAAAGTCAAATGTTTAAAAAGTAGAGCCACTAAATTAGGAATTTTCAAAACATTCAAACTATTTACTTTTCAGCGCTCTATAATTATCTTCACCAATCACCAAATTTCACACCAACTGACGACGGTTCGGCATACAAATTGCTTTATCGTTATGATTGGTTTGCGAAAAGTAACACCTTCCGAACAGTTATCTCGGATAATATCGATCATATTCTGATATCGCGTGTCGTTGCATGAGCTAAATGCCATATCAACAACAACGTTGTAGTTTTTGTGCAAGCGATAAATAAATTATGCAACTTGAAGGTCGAGAAATGTGTTGATACAGTGCTTTGGTTACCGTTTTGAAACAAGATCCGGTAGAGAAAAACAAAAATCTTAGCTAATGATATCAAGACATTCCCCTTCTGGTCTACTAAATGTCGTTCACTTAGTAGATAAGTACCTATACATAAATCGTCACAATTATGATTCTGATTCATCAATTTAATTTCCCCAACCAGTACGTATCTTTTGCCCTGACGCTCTACTGGAACTACCTGGACGTGTTCATCATATTGGTGAGTATAGCCATCGCGACCCGGTTCGATCAAATCAACAACCATTTGCGGACGCTGGCCGGCGGAGGAGTGCTGCTACCGAACGAGCCTTTCTGGATCCGGGTGCGAAGCCACTATGTGTCGGTTTGCGAGCTGCTGGACGAAGTGGACCAAGCCGTCGCTTGGAGTGTGCTCATATCCTGCGCCACCAATCTGTACTTTATATGTCTGCAGATATTGAACGTTTCCCAGTAAGTGTAATTATATCCGAATGATGAAAAGTGAACGATGCCATACAACTAGTAATTCGGTTCATTTTTATCCCACCAGGAAACTGCGCTGCGTAATGAATGACGTTTACTACTGGTTTTCGTTGCTGTTTCTGATTGGACGGACCGTGACCCTGTTCCTGTGTGCAGCACATATCAACGAGGCAGCCAAGAAGCCGTTGGATATTGTGGCGAAAATTCCCAATAATGGATGGAGTGTGGAGGTAAATTCCAGCGTATTCTCCAGCTTCCTGGTGTTCATATTATTTTCCATTGTTCTGTAAAACATAAACCACATCTATAATTAATATTATTATCAATAATTCAAGCAGAGTAAGGCATTAGGTCCTAAGTAAAATTGGTAGCTTCTCTTCGTTGCCTTTCTGTTTGCATCCCCACGGCCATGTTAAGACGTTCCCAGCTGTTTTCAGTACACAGATCGATGAAAGGAGCTACTATCTAGCTACTTCTAATAAGACAATCACGACAAGAAACGATTCTGTACCCAAGTTATTAACGAAAGAGAAAGTCGATTAAGAGAATCAATCAATGTTACTCAGGACTTAATGCATTGTTCAGCTTGATGCGTGTGGGGTCCACTTAAGATAACAAAATTTATTATGCAAACTGAACTTTTAATCAAAAGTTGTAGGCCATCTTTGCATGTTTTGATAATCTTGAATATGAATACAAGATTAAGGTTGGCCTAGAAAATGTATAATCCAAATTGGCACACACACAAAAATAGAATTTCATGCGCTCTAGCTTTCTTAAATAAAATTGGCTCCAATATCCTTCTCCGAAGTCAAAGGACTAGGAACCCGTTGCGTTGTGGGAAAATTAAGTTCAGTTTTCGTTCTCTTTCCAGTTAGACCGATTCTCGTCGCAGCTGAAAAGCGAAACGGTTGCACTTTCCGGTATGAGATTCTTCCACATCACCCGGCAGCTGCTCTTTTCGGTAACGAAGTTTTCTCTGCTTCCCATTAAACATTTAAAAAAATCCTCATCAACACGGCCAATGCGAGTGCTCAAAATTTAGTCGAATTTAATTCAAAATTGGAAAAAAGTGGAATTACTCAGTGAATGAGTAAAGACATATTTCACTCAGTCTAAAATGAGTAAAGTTTGGACAATTTTCCTCATAGTCCATTTTTTTTCGAAAAAAATTGAATTTTACTCACTTACTGAGAAACACCACTTTTTGCAATTTTCCATTGAATTCGACTCAGTTACTGAGTTACTCTCTCGGCCGTGAACAAAAGAGAGTGCCAAAATGTAAACTTTTCCCTTTTCATCCTTTTCCAATGTGACGCACTTCCGGGAGTCGCCACAGATGGCCGGAACCATCGTTACCTACGAGCTGGTGATGCTCAAGTTTGATAAGGAATCGGAAGGCAAGGGCTACATTCGACCTTGCTCCTTTTTCGAAATCGAGAAAAAGTGGCTCACGTGAGAAAAGCGAGCCGAGCGAAGGTCAACCTGTGACGAAAACGACGACGACACATTCCGCAATGAAGATTGAAGAAAAGCAACTGGAACAGGGTGAGAGACGATGCGTATGCTTTCATCAGTGAACGTGGGTTGTATTTACACCGGTGGGCAAAATCTTAGATTGGATTCAACGTTATTTGAACCAACCTGCCATCTTGCCCACCAATGTCACAGTCGTGTCCTGAATGGCTCTATCGTCACTCTTTTTTTTTGTAGGTTAAAGCGCACAATATTGAAAGCAGCCGGTGTGGTTCGACGTGAGATGGAATCAGCTAGTTCAAATGATGATGAGGATGACGATAGTGATGGACTAGAAAAAATCACAAAGCAATACCGGTTTCGAAGATGAAAATTTACACACGCACAGGTTTTGAGGCAGCTCAGCAATCGCAACCGGTGACCTTAGTGAGTGTGGTCCCAACAGTTGAGTTGGCCGCTTGACCGCACCGAGAAGAGACTTGCAAGGCGCAAACACACCCGCCGTGTCACATTTACACGCTAGATTTTTACATTCCAAATCGTCTACCGAGCAGAAAAGTAGCATAGGACCTAATCGACGAAATACCTGCATATTGTTGCACAAAAATACACACACCTAAGCCAGATATCACTATATTTGTTGGGCAATAAAATAAAGAAAGAAGCACATTTGCTGTCGAATATCAACGATGTGGGATATTAGTTAATGTCGAACAGCAGGTGGCTGTATTGCTGCTTTTGACAGAAGGATTGATTAATCACTCTTGTCAACTGTGCATAATGAAATTTGAAACTCTACTACTAGGAATGGTTGAAATTCATTGAACGAAGTGTCGGTAAAATATAAGTTTTCAAGAACAAAGTGTTAATTTGTATACCTAACTGTTCAACTGCTTCTTTCGAAGCTACAGTTATCAGGGTTAGTCAATTACATCTTCTATAGACCTATGTGCACATTGCTGGTTACCCTTGTGCATAATAATCTTAATCACTGCAAGGCATATCTAATTTCTAAACAAACCGAATGCCAATTGGCCGAATGGGCCATGTGACTGGCCAAACGCCTACTATATAACCTCTTCATATATTGCGGCCGTGGGAAAAGAAGTTTTTTATATTTATCCGCAGAGTGGAAACCCAGGTCGGACAAAAGTACATAACCTTGGCAAATTTGTCAGACGGTGAAAAAAAACTGTTTAAAACTTGAATCACATGAAAGAACTATGTCTCGACTATGGATGAGCAAAAATTCCAGTACATTTGTATCATTTTACTCAAGAAAATTCCATTTTTAAATAGACTATTCCAAAAAGGTTAATGACTTTTTGCATAGATTCGATTTGCGGTCTTCAGACATTGCAATTGTCCAATATTGAGCAATATATGAATTCTTGAAGGGCAAACAAATGATCTTATATTATTAATTTTGGGTGGTTATATTGGCTCAATCAATGCAGACTCCATCTTCAAAAAATATTGCACAATAAACCAAATTATTTTTTCCACTTAAAAAACAACTATATTATTTTTTCCACCGACCCACTGACGGTACACACCAAAAATTATGATTATTAAATGAGACGTAACTATCCATCACAAACCTCACAATATTACTTCTTAACAAATAATTTTACATGCGTGTACTCAAAAGTATGTGAGCACATTACACTTAGAAATTACTATTTTTACACGAGACGTAATTCAGCTTTGACGTAAATCATAGAACGTAAACAAACATGGCATGTAAAATTAAGTGTCCTTAAACGGAAACATATGCAACTCACGAAAAGTGCGTTTGATTGAATTGATTTTCCCGTCCTTTTCAGCTGATTCGTATGTTAAAAGGGCCGCTTGCATGTGTCGGTCTCAGGGCACTGAAATTTACATGTCTTTTTCGTAGTGTGTTTTTTTTTCGATGTGGGAGGACTTAAACGTACACGAACGAACGCTGGCCTAACGAAAGCAAAACTACAACGTCGTCGGTCGTGAGTGGTTCGATAATTTGTTATATTCGTTGATCGACTAATACAAACTTCAACGTTCTAAAACTATAGTAATTCTTTTTAAATAAATGTTTGACACTTTTGATGCCATTCTTATTTGATGCCATGCGTATCTGAATATGAAATCTTAATGACACACTAAGAAAAATTCAAGTGAATTTAGGTGCTCTGAGACTGACATATACGAGCGTCAATTTTGACATAACATTGAGTCATAATAGACAAAAAATTCAGCTCAATCAAACGTACTTTTCGTTGAGTAACGAACTTTTCAGTTTCGGAGTACTTAATTTTACATGACATGTTTGTTTACGTCTCATCCTTTATGTCAAAGATGGATTCCGTCACATGTAAAATTAGTTATTTCTAAGTGTGGAGTTTTATTCCACGAATCATGGATCACACTTGGTTCATTGGATCTTTTCACATGTTTTGGCAGAATTTGACTACACAAAATTGGAGATTTGGTTAAATCTGTAATGCAAATCCCTTTTGCTATAGCTGTTAGAATAAATATTCAGTAGGCAGCTGAAAATACGTCTCATTATAAATTTACATGTTAACAAACTTGAACGAGTAAAATTACAATTTTGCTTAATTTTACGACATGTAAAAATACTAACGGACTCAATTGTATGTCGGACTCAATTTTATGTATGTTTAACTTACAATACCGGACAAGTGCTTAAATTTCATACAGATTCAGCCAACTCAACGTCATACCAGTGAACCTTGAATAGTTGATTAAAATTCATCCAATATTTCAGCAATTCTGAAGCACATCATAAAATGTTATAATTCCAATTCTGCACGTTTTAGTCTGTATAGTAAATGAGTATTTAGGGGGGTTAGATTTAAATAGATCTTAAGCGAGAATGACACTGATGAAGGCTACACATTGTAGTCGAAATTCATATCTGTTTGGATACAAATATTGAGAGGAATTAAATTGCACATATTTTTTTTTAACTCTTTATTTGTTCCAAATTCAAAACAAATTACATTTCATTCTAACCAATTAAGGCTGGTAAGTTATTGTAGTAATTGGAGCACCTACAATAACTTACCAGCCTCAATTGTTATGATATATATCTAAGTGTTTTTTACATTGCTCCTGTCTTGGCTATTCAGTATTTTAAACAGGTTTTTTAAACCTGCATGTCAGTATAACAATTGAAATCTTAAAACTAAAAACTAAAACTAAATCTTATCTAAGTATAAAGGGAATTAATCGTTGCAATTGAGGATTGCAACGATTTTTGCCTGAAATTATTGATAATTTTGTTGGACATTTGTTCTAAAGTCTCAACATTCGAAATTCTATGTACTTCGGTAGTACTGTACCAGGGAGGCAACTTCTAAACCATCTTCAGAACTTTGTTCTGAATCCTTTGAAGTGCTTTTTTCCTGGTAGTGCAACAACTAGACCATGTTGGCACAGCGTAAAGCATGACCGGTCTAAAAACTTGTTTTAATATTAGAAGTTTATTCGTCAGGCAATGTTTGGATCTACTGTTTATAAGAGGAATCACACATTTTATATATTTATTACATTTGGCTTGAATGTCCTCAATGTGATCTTTAAAAGTTAATTTTTGGACAAGTATTAATCCAAGATATTTCACTTGGTTTGACCAGGAAATTGAAACTCCGTTCATAGTGACTATGTGACTACTACTAGATTTCAAAAACGAAGCTCTAGGCTTATGTGGAAATATTATAAGTTGAGGTTTGGAAGCGTTGGGAGAAATCTTCCATTTTTGTAAATAAGAAGAGAAAATATCTAAAGTTTTCTGCAGTCTGCTGCAAATAACACACACTCCTGCTGTAACGGGTAGTCGATTAGATTTGGAATTTTGAAAATTTACCTGCAGAGTTCTGTCAGTTAAACAATTTTGAACTAATTTCATAATATATAGTGGATAATTAACCTTTTTCAATGTAGCAACCAAACCTTCACGACAAACACTGTCGAATGCTTTTTCTATGTCTAGAAGAGCAACTCCAGTTGAGTGGCCTTCAGATTTATTTGAACGAATTAAATTGGTAACTCTTAAGAGTTGATGAGTATTTGAATGCCCATGGCGAAATCCAAACTGCTCATCTGCAAAAATTGAGTTCGTATTGACGTGAAGCATCATTCTATTCAAAATTATCTTTTCAAAAAGTTTACTTATTGAAGAAAGCAAACTTATTGGGCGGTAGCTAGAGGCTTTAGCTCGATTTTTATACGGCCTCAAAATTGGAACAACTTTTGCATTTTTCCATTTATCAGGAAAGTATGCCATATGGAAACATCTGTTAAAAAATTTTACCAAGAAAGACAAGGTACTCTCTGGGAGTTTTTTGATGAGGATATAGAAAATTCCATCATCACCTGGAGCTTTCATATTATGAAACTTTTTAGTTATAGACCTTACTTCGTCCAAATCAGTCCCCCAGGAATCATCAAAAATATTTTCCAGAGAGAAAATATTCAGATAATCCCGAGCAACCTGATTCTCAATAGGACTAGTAAGACCCAAACTGAAATTATGGGAACTCTCGAATTGCTTAGCAAATTTTGGAGCCTTTCCAAATTTGTGAATAAAATTTTACCACCTTCTTTAAGCGCTGGAATAGGCTTTTGAAGTTTTTTCAAAATTTTTGTATGTTTCCAAAAGGGTTTGGAACTCGGGTCTAATTTAGAAACATTATTTTCAAAAGTTTTGTTCCTCAGAGCAGAGAATCGTTTTTTAATTTGTTTTTGTAAATCCTTCCAGATAACTTTCATGGCAGGATCGCGTGTTCTTTGATATTGTCTCCTACGGACATTTTTAAGACGGATCAAGAGCTGAAGATCGTCGTCTATTATAATTTAATCGAATTTAACCTCGCATTTTGGTACTGAGGCAGCTCTTGCTGCAACTATAGAAGTAGTCAGAGATTCAAGGGCAAAATTAATTTCATCTTTGGTTTGTAAAGGAATGTTTGGATCGAA